GCCCGCCCGCGGGCCTCTCGGGCTGCCCCCGACCTCCCGGGGGCGCTCCGGCGACGGGCCCGGGGCTTCTGCTCTGCCGTTTTGCTCCTTCGGCCTCCCCCGCCCGTCACGGCTGTGAACATCCTTCCCTGGTGTTCTAGCGACCGACGCCCGTTTGTACACGCCTGTTGCTCCGCTCACCACCTTGGATGGCAGTCATATTTCTGTGTCTGTCTGTCTGTCCAAGTGAGCAGAATATCCTTGAGCGCAGGGACTGTGTGCGTCCACATCGACGCCGGGCACTTCCTGGCCCGTAAACTACACTAACGTATGATATATACGTGAACGAACAACTGGAATGAAATGAAGACAACCCCCACGACAGCAAGAAGAGGCTCTTCATTGCGCGTCTGCTGTCAGGGCCGTGAGCCGCCATCCCTGCGCCTGGCGGGGACTCGAGGGTGTCAGGGGAGTGGGAAAGCTAAAAGTGGGGGGAAAAGTGGGGGGAAAGGGGGAGTGATGGTGAGGTTCGCCTACGCTCTGATGTGAGTGTGAGCAGGAGAGAGCTGGAGGCAGGTAACCAGGCGCAGGCGTCTCGTGTCCTGCGCGGGGCCTATCTTTGTTTTCCTCTAATTGGTCCTGAGCTGGAGCGGGAGGAGCAGGGAACAGTCACTGCCCAGCCAGGAGCTCCCGGCTGACTGCTGCAGAGCCTGTGGGTCCCAGTTCTAATTGTCATTAGAACAATTGTCATCTGGCCATTGTCCAGTCTGTACATTCAGGGTCTCATGACTACAGTTGACCCTTGAACAACACAGGTTTGAACTACACGTTCCACTTATACATGGATTTGTTTTTCAGTAAATATGTACAGTACTGTAAATGTATTTTCTCTTCCTTATGACTTGTTAAGTAACATTTTCTTCCCTCTAGCTACTTTATTGTAAGGCTCCAGTATATAATCCATATACAAAAATGTGTCAGTGGGCTGTTATCTGTAATGCTTCTGGTCAACAGCAGGCTATCAGTGTTAAGTTTTGAGGGAGTCAAAAGTTATATGGGAATTTTTTGACTGCAGGGTTGGTGCCCTTAAGACCCATTTGTTCAAGGATCAACTGTATTGTTTTTTCCCCTCTATTATCCTCCCAATCTAATTGACTTCCTAACTTGCCTTTCTCCCTCAATTCTCAGTTTCAGTGTTCTTTGTCCCTCAATCCCTATACTTCAAGTGTTATATTTTATCTGGACCCTCAGAAACCACACTGAGTAAAATGTGGTTTTAGTTGCCTAAAGTTAAGATTAACCACAAAATTATACAAATATCATGTATTTTTATTATTCCAGAGCCCAGTTCAGTGCCTGGAACAAGATAAACATGGAAAAAAATTCAACAAATGTTTTGGATTTTCTTTTTTTTTAATTCTTGAAGTTGCCTTCCAACTGTGCAGTTCTAAGTCTAACCTATGTATATTTCAAACTCCAGTGTTCCACCAAACTGGTGTTTTTGAATGGAAATAGAATATCTTTTTATGTTTTAAATAGTACTTAATTCATAATTCATACAGTTTATGAACTATATTAACTTAGAACTTGAAGGTACATTGAAAAATCTTTTTTTTTTTCAATCCTCGCTTGAGGATATTTTTTCCATTGCTTTTCAGAGAGAGAGAGAAACATTGATGTGAGAGAGACACATCAATTAGTTGCCTCCTGCATGTGCCCCAGCCAGGGTGGGGGATCGAGCCTGCAACCAAGGTACATGCCCTGGGCAAGAATTGAACCTGGGACCCTTCAGTTCCCTGGCAACACTCTAACCACTGAGCCAAACCAGCTAGGGTGAAACATCATCTAACTTATATATCATATCTGCTATTATGAAACAGAAAAGAAACCTACATTTTAATCCAACACTTTCTCCTGATACTTTCTTTGTCTGCCTGGTTCGGACAATACTTCCTTCAATAAGTCCATATGCCCGCAGGCACTTGTAAAGTATGATGCTTTACAAAAACCTGCAATGTTTATCTGATTAACAGCTCACAGGGCTGAGTTCTGAGGTTTTCAGTCAGAGAGCCAAAAAAAAAAAAAAAAAGGGTTGAGATCATTTCTCCACCTCATTTGCTGTAAGTCAAGTCAGCATGTTGAAACAAATTACAGAAATCCATATTTCAAAACACGTTTTTAACTGCCTTTTAAAGGCTTGTCTACAATTAACATTTGCAATTTTCTCAGGAAGTTCTTGACTCTATCCAGCCCTGAGCAAAAGCAGCCTAACTAGGTGTCAGTTGTCTGCATTGCTTTATTTCTCTCATCAATTTTCCTTCATTCCACACTCCATCCTGCCCTAACCTCTAAAGGAGTTTAAGTAATGTGATCTTCACTCTCTCTTACATGTTTATTCATCTTTCTTCATGTGTCTTGAAGACACCTCATTGCCCAAAACCAAGCTCATTGTCCCTTTACTCCCACCTTATCTACCCAAACCTCCTCTGTTCATATTCCCAACTTAGATTAAATACCCTATGATTCACCCAAGCAGAAATTTGCAAGTCATTCTAGAATGTCTTCCTTCTACTACTTCCTTTCACCATTCTATCCAATTAGTCACTAGGTGTTCTTAATTCAAGTGTCTACAATCTTCTCCAATAGCTTCTGATGAAACCTGCTAACTTGTGGCCCTGCCTCCAGACCCATGCCCCTCCTGAGTTCCCTTCCATTCAGATACACTAGTGAAATATAATCATACTGCTTCCTGTTTTAAAATCTCTCTGTAGTTCCCCATCCCAATGGGATATAGTCCAAATTCCTTGGCATGGTGTGGCAGATTCTGCTGACTGCCTACCCCCAAAGCCAACAATCTCTCTTCCACCTTGTTAACAGAATCCCAATTTCATTTGAGTAACTACACCCTTATACTTGGTCATGTGATTAAAGAGAGCTAGGCTCCAATCTCAGCCCCAGGGAGTAAACTATAGTGGGTCTAAGTCAATCATGGTGGCCCATTCCCTCACCAAATATTGAGCCTAGACATAAGACGCCATTCTAGCCAATGATACAGAAGTCAGCTGTTGGGAGGAACACGAGGAGAGAAGATGTTTCTGGGAAAGGTTTTCTCTATCCTAAAAAGAGTATAAGTCAATGAAAAGTTTACAGGAGAGAGAAGACCGCTTTTTTACCTCCAGAAGAAATTTTAAAGATATGATGCCTGGAGCTGCTGTAGCATCTTATACCTATGGTGGGGGGACAGGCCTGGGAATAAGAGAATAGAAGTACAGGAAAAACTTGAGTCATTGATAACATTATAAAGCTGCTAAGTTAACTGACTTGGGAGCAGCCCTACTTATGGACTCATTACTTGAAATACTAAAGTCATTATTGTTCTTATTTTTGAGTGACTTGCATCAGGGGATTGTTACCTGTAGTCTCCTAACTGAAACATGTGGCTTACAATGCGTAATATGATCTAGCCCCCAATATCTTCCAAGCACCCCAATAGGTGTTCTTACCCAC